CCCACATCAGAAGATTCAGATTAAAAGTGAATTGTCTCACTTCAAATGATTTAATTAAGAAAAGATCCCTCACAGGCGTGCCCAGGATGCTTGGGTTTTAATTCTAGATGTAGTTTTAAGTTGATAAGTGAGAATAGTATCACAGGAGGTGTCACCTTGTTGATGGAAGTAGGACACTGGGGTAGACTTTCAGGTTTCAAAAGCCTGCACCAGGCCAGTCTCTCTCTGCCTGCTGCCTGCAGATCAGGATGTACGTTTTCAGCTACTGCTCCAGTGACATGCCTGCCTGTTTCCCACCATGGTGATCATGGACTAATTCTCCTAAATTGTTAGTGAGTTCCCAATTAAAGGCTTTTTTTTTCTCCCATATGAGCTGTCTTGGTTATGGTGTCTTTTCAGAGCAATAGAACAATAACTAAAACAAGTGATAGTTGCCTCATACACATTGCTGAGTGAATATAAAATGGTATAGACACTGTATTTTTGTGGCAGACTATCTCTATTTTATTATTCAGTAGTCATACTTCTTTATTCTCTAGAAATAATATTTTCATTTGCACAAAGGTGACTCAATTTATAATAAACAGGAAATAAAACATACATACTGTTTAGTGAGTAATTAGGCCGGCCCTTCCCTACCATGCTATTCCACTTGGCCCCTGAAGGGGAGAAGACTACTATCAGGGCAAAACTCAGAACATTGTACTAGACAGAATGCCAGTCTCAGAAGGAACGAATGTGTGGTTCCAAATACATGCTGTTCTTAAGATGGCAGGATTGTAGAAATGAAGAACAGTGAGTGTTTACAAGGGCTAGTAGGGTACAGTGAAAAGGGAGTATCTGTGTAAAGGAACAGCCAGGGGAGACCATTTGTGGAATTTAGAAAGTTCTGTGGCTTGATTGTGGTTACACTTGATGAACGGAGAATAAGGCTGGTATTACATTTCCTGCTTTTCTTACAGTAACAGCCACTGTGGAAACAGAAGTGCTTTTGTACTCTCTATAATTATTTAAATTATTTAATTATATTGTCTAATAAGAACTATTTTAAAAGAATTATTATAATTGTTTAAAAAGAAAAGTCTTGGAGGGAATTTTGAGCTCTTAAAGCCCAGCATTTCTGATGCAATAAGTGTAGATATTTTCCAACCAAGCAAGTCTGTGTAGGTAGTGTCTGGATGTTCTACAATCATTTCTGCAATTTTATTTCTCGGGGTTAGTGTGAAACAAGACTGTGTTTCACAGAATTAACCAACTTCAGATACCAGTTCCCCTTGGGTGCCCAGCCTACTCACATTCCTTCCCAGCCAACTTTTATGTTCACAGTTCTCAAAAACCCTCTTCCGGTTTGGTAATTTTCTAAAATGGCTCCCAGAACTTAGGAAAGTATTTGTTACTTCTCACTGGTTTCTCACAGAGGCAGGAACAGCCAAGCAGAAAAGACACATTTGAGATAGGTTTGAACTATGGCATGGAGTCTCTTTACTCTCTCAGGGCACACCACTCTCTCAGCATTCCTGTGCATTTACCAAACTGAGACTTTCTGGATCTCATCATTTAGGCTTTCTATGCATGCACTAGTACATCGGCAGGACTGATTTCATCACTACTCCTTGGTTATTATTTTGACCCCAACCCTCTGATCCCAGAGGTTGGGAGTGGAGGTGGAAGCCCCAGCCCTCTACTTCTGTTTGTTTATTTTAATGGCCAACCTTCTTCCTGGGGCTGTTGGGAAGCCTACCAAGAGTCACCTGTCATCGTTATTTTTTTTATTGTCATAACAAAACACTGTGACCAAGGCAACTTATAAAAGAAAGCATTTAACTGGGGCTTAAGTAAGAGTTTCAGAGGATTAGTCTATGAATATCATGGCAAGGGAACATGGCAGTAGGCAGGCATGGAGCTGGAGCAGCACCCAAGAATTTACATCTGATCCACAGCCACAAGGCAGGGAGAGAGTGCAGGAGAGGGGAGAGTTAATTGAGAATGGTGTGAGGTTTTGAAACCTCAAATCCCAACTACTTCTAGCAAGGCCGTATCTCCCAATCCTTCCCAAACAGTTCTACCACTTCTGGTGGCTAAGTATTCAAATATATGAGCCTGTGGGGGTCATTCTCGTTTAAATTACCACATCACCAGATTAGAACAGAAGATGCTTGCTTCTCTTGATGAAATACCACTCAGAACATCCAAGGGATTTAAGAGCTGTCAGGGTCTAGAGACAAAAGCCAAATATCTGTTTTTCAATTTTATTGTAGTGATCTTACAATCTAATTCTGATTTTCATATGTATTATGCATGCATAATAAATAAACGACCAAATTTTCAGTAAAAATTGAAGAGTCAAGAAAATCAAGAAATTAATCAAGAGATATACTAACTTTTATCATTTTTCCTTTGAAGTTGAAGTTGCCATCATTCCTTTTTTAAAAGTCTTTTAGACAGGGTCTCTCTATATCCCTAGCCATCCTGGAACTCACTATGTAAACCAGGCTGGATTTGAACTCTCAGAGATCTGCCTGCCTCTGCCTCCCGAGTGCTGGGATTAATGGTGTTTTGAGATAGGGTTTCTCTGTGTATCTCCAGCTGTCCAGGAACTCACTCTGTAGACCAGGCTGGCCTTGAACTCAAAGAGATCCTCTTGCCTCTGCCTACCTGAGTGCTGGGATTAAAGGCTTGTGCCATCACTGCCCGACTGACTTCTGTCTTAAGTCTGTCATAACCTCCAAGGCATAATAAGGAAGACCTTCAAGTAGATAAGGATATATCCCTAAAAGCTGGAGGGGTAGTATGCTCAGGACTTTGCTGGGGAATCTTAGAAACAGTACTCCTGGAAGAAGGTAGAAATGATTCATACAAAATTTCTCATCAATCCAATGTCACCAAGTTGTACAAATATTAAAAGTCATCCAAATATGCAACAGGTGGAGATGAAATCATGTGGCTCAGCTTTGCTGGATCTTTGCCAAACAGCTGCACTGACCTTATGACTTACCATTCCCATGCAAGAAAAATATATAAGGGGCCACAATTGCATAACCATCTTCTGATTCATTTTTGTCAAAACATAAGTGTATCTATTTGCCTAGAAGTATTGGATTTGGACTCATTTTTATTTGTGGAATCGATGTAGTTTATGCCAAAGCCCTAGTTTAAATCAAGATTATCAGATAACTGTGTGACTTTCTGTTAGTAGTAACAAAGGATGCCCAAAGATTTTGAAAATTTTGTTCAAGTGAGCTTCAACTTAAAATGTCACCCTTAGACATACATTTACATGTGAGGCATTAGGTATATCATCAAATGGTTGACTTGGTACTCTTGGCTATAAGCTATAAGCTCTTTTGATTCTGCCATTGAAAATCAGTCCTGGCTTAGATTTTGCTGTCACGTTGCACATATGGTGAAACATAAAATGGTAGCTTAAAGTATGTATGAATAAATTAAAGATGCATGAATATAATTCATACATCTTAAGAAGATGTATGAATTATATATGCTAGATGTACATATGAAATTTAGTATATCATCTATTACTGAAATAGAAGAATTGACTTCCAACCCAAGTGTGTTGGCACAAATTCGTAATCCCAGCACCTAGAAGCTAAGGCAATTGAATCACAAAGTTTGAGACTAGCCTGGACTATATAGTGAGGTTCCTCTCCTCCACCAATAGAATTGGTTTTCAAATAATTTAGACATCTCGTAATAGATAGTATATTAGGAGTCAGCTAGTTCAAAATTATCTTCTACTCAGTTTCCTTCAAATAGATATCTGTCATCCATATAACAAAGAAACAGTAAATTATCAAAGATAAATGCTTCTTAAGCAAAAGCTTTGTTTGCATTGGTATAGAGCAGACCTGTTCTCTCTGTTACCCCTGTTACTGCTTCAGCTATCAGGAGTCAGAGTTATATCTTGCTCCCAAGATCAGCATGCTGTCCTTTATGAGCAGCCAATCCTTGTTTCAGACCTTTGCAGATTGCAAAGTAAAAGTAAAAAATTTACCCTAACTCTGCTAGCTCTCTGTTCTGAGAGTATAATAGTGATTCTGGTCACCTATGGTCTCAGGTAAAGACTTGAAAAATGTTACTGCTGTCTCACGTTCCTTAGCGAAATTTCTGCTTAGCGTCTAAGTACCTAGGAGAGAATTTTGACTGTTTCTGGTTTGGAAGCAGCCTGAGAAGTGTGTTTAGTGTGCCAGGTTATGTGTTGTAGTGACCAAAGTCTACGTACATTGACACAGCCCCTGAGAAAATTATAACCCATGGATTTAAAAAAAATAAGTTTATTGTTTTATGTATACGGGCAGTCTGTCTGCTTGTATGTCTGCACCGTAACTGCAGAGCTGGATCTGATGTAGAGGCCATGGAGGAGAGCTGCTTACTGACTTGTTCTTCATGGTTTGCTCAGCCCGCTTTCTTACAGCATTCAGCACTACCAGCCCAGGGGTGGCACCACCCATAATGGGCTATATCCTCACAGACCAATCATTATTTAAATAAATGTCCTACAGGCTTGCCTATAGCCCTATCTTTTGAAGGCAGTTTTTTTTTTCAATTGACATTCTCTTTTCATTAAATGACTCTAAATTGTGTCAAGTTGGCCTCAAACTAGCACAGATGGTGCTTGACCTTGTCACCCAACTGTGAGCTAAGGCTGAAGGTATAGGGCAGTCGGGCTGTGACTAAAGGGTCCTCTCATAGTCTGGTGAATTCCTGATACCTCCCCAACCCCAACTGCTGTGCCAGACACTTGGCAGCCCTCTTCTCTCACCTCTGACATTCCTTGAAATGAACAAGAATAGGAATAAAACAAACTGATTGGCCAGTTTACCATTGATTAATGGCATTTGGCTAGTAAAATGATCATTGTATTTGGGTATCTTTTTATTTATTTATAGGTACCAAATCTAAGTAATTTCAACTATAGCTGAATTAAATACTGTATATTTTTCATATTATCCCTTGGATCTTAGTCCAGATTTTTTTTTTTAAAGGAGAGAGTACTGATGGGTCTGAAAAGCATACCTTGCTTTCTCAGGAAAGTGCCTGCTGGGCTATTGCAGCTGTAATTTCTTGTCTCTGTGTGGAAGGAATGGAATTTGTATGTCATCCTATGTAAGTACTCAGTATTAATGCTGTTCATTAAGGGGAGTGCTTGAACAAAGTCATTCATTTATTTTACTTTGGTTCTAAATATTATTTAAAATTGTTAATACTCAAAAAAGAGAAAATATTCAGTTAGGAAAATGTGACCATTTTGATTTTTTTTTCAAGGTGTAACAGGAAGGACCTTTTAATTCCCAGATCTGGATTCTTTTCCTGTGTCTCGAATCATTTGTGTCATCTTGTTAGAACTATTGGTCTTTGCAAAGGCCTTTGTGACCATTAAATTAGGTGTTCTATATAGAGTTCTTGGCTGCAGTTAACATGATCAGTTTTTGTGTATTTGGTTGAGTTTTTTTTATGTAAAACAACTTGGTGATATCAATAGCATATTAGAATCCAAATAAACTTTTGTTCTTTTTAAGAATAATATTAAAAGATTTTTTGACAATGTTTACTCTTAGATATAATAGAAACATGGTTAATGTCACAGCGATTGTTTATGCTTCATAGATAATATAAAAATTTTATAATTGAAAAGTTTTATAATTGGACATTTGTGATTTTGAAACTATATGTTCTGTGTTGTTTGATTTTTTATGCCTTGGGAACATGATTTCTGGATCTTAGTGAGTTTTTCTGTGTTTTTTGCTTCTTTAAATTCTGTTTTGTACAGCACAAACAAATGTTTATGAATATGTATTAGTTAGAAACAGATTTTTAAAGTTAGTGAACAAAATTTAAAATTTGGTGTCAGATTTGCTTTCTTTAAATTTGATATAATCTCATTCTTATAATCCAAGTAAAGCAGCCTGGTTATGGTGACCAGAGCATATTTTCAGATTTGTCCATACTCTTATTTCCTTCTACATGCCAGCCACAGAGAATTGTATGTGACTTAGAATTCTCATTTTCATTCATTCTCCCCCCTATCTTTCCTCTCTCTGGTAGGTCTTGTAGAAATGAAAATAAAACTCTTTTCTTACTCTTACATTTAGTATAATTTATCTTGGGTCATCAAATGTTGGTGAAAGGATTTCCCATAACCAAGCAGTTCTCTAGCAGGCCCTGCCTAAGTATCCTATATTTCAGTTTGTTTCTGACATTGCCTAGATGGAGTTAGTGTCAGATCCTACAAGTTAAGAACTCAGTCCCACAATTCTTTTTTCCCCATTTAGGAGCCAATTGCAAATACTAATTTGCATATGTTCTTTTGACCTGTTTCTCATACCTTGGCTTCCTACAATTCCTACCTTAAATTCTATTAATTTGCTAGGATAGCTTACAGAACTCAGAAATATGCTTACTGGTTTATTATATGTAATGGCTATTACAAAAGATACCTTAGTTATAGACAATCACTTAGATAAAGAGATACATGGGAGATTGTCTGGAAAGAGAACAGAACTTCAGTGTCCTCTCTAGGCAACCTGACATGTTCAACAGTGTGCAATCATTGCAACCCTGTCCTTTTGGGTTTCTTTAAGGAGCAGTGATTGAGTAAATCATTGTTCATTGATGATTGGCTCAACCTCTACCCTCTACCCCCAATACAGTAAAGGTATGGGAGCTAGAAGTTCTTCCTTCATCACATTTAATCACATCCTGAAACTTGAAGCCCATCAAAAGTCACCTGATTGGAAGAAGAGATAACCCTGTTAACCAGAAAATTCCAGAGTATTGAGAAGCTTTATATTTGAAATCCAGGGTCAAAGATCAAATTTAAAGCAAAAGGTTTGGAGGGAGGGTAAAATGGTACATGCCTTTAATTAGAGTATGTGGAATGCAGAAACAGGTTGATCTCTGTGAGTTCTAGGACAGCAAATCATTAAGACACAGTCAATAAGGCTAAAAGGCAACCTACTAGATGGAAAAGATAAGATCTTCACCAACCCCACATCAGGCAGAGGACTGATTTCCAAAATATATAAAGAACTCAAGAAACTAGACACCAAAATACCAAATAATCCAATTTAAAATGGGGTAAAAAAAATTAAACATAATTCTCAACAGAAAAATCTGAAATGGCCGAAAGACACTTAAGAAAATATTCAACATCAGTATCCATCAGGGAAATGAAAATCAAAACGACTCTGAAATACTATCTTACACCTGTCAAAATGACTTAAAAAACACCAATGATAGCTTATGCTGGAGAGGATGTGGAGTAAGGGGAACACTCCTCCATTGCTGCTTTGAATGCAAACTTGTACAACCACTCTGGAAATCAGTATGGTGTTTTCTCAGAAAATTGGGAATCAACCTACCTCAGGACTCAGCAAGTACCTCTCTTGGGCATATACCCAAAATATGCTCAAGCATTCTACAAGAACATTTGTTCAACTATATTCATAGCAGCATTATTGGTAATAGCCAGAACCTGGAAGCAACCTAGATGCCCCTCAACCAAAGAATGGATGAAGAAAATGTGGTACACCTACACAATGGAGTATTACTCAGTGGTAAAACAAAACAAAACAAAACAACAACAAAACAATGTCATCTTGAAATTTGCATGCAAATGGATGGAACTAGAAAAAAAAAAAACATCCTGAGTGAGGTAACCCAGCCCCAGAAAAGTAAACATGGTATGTATTCATTCCTAAGTGGTACTAGCTGTGAAGCAAAGTATAACCAGGCTATAGTTCATGACCCAAGAGAAGCTAAGTAACAAGGTGAACTCTAAGAAAAATATATATAAATCTACCTGGGAAGGGGAAATAGACAAGATTGCCTGACAAAATTGGACTGTGGGGGTGGGGTGAGAAGGGCTGAATGAGAAGAGAAGGGGAGAAGGGGACAATGAATTCCCAGGAATTCACAAGGATGACCGCAGATAAGACCCTAAGCAGTAGAAGAGAGGGTGCCCAAACTGGCCTTGCCCTGTAGTCAGATTGATGAATATCTTAAATGTCATCATAGAACCTTTATCTAGCAACTGATGAAAACAGAGGCAGAGACCTGCAGTGAAGCACTGGGCTGAGCTCCCAAAGTCCAGTTGAAGAGTGGGAAGAGTGAGAATATGAGCAAAGAGGTCAAGACCATGATGGGTACACCCACTGAAACAGTCTACCTGAGCCAATGGGAGCTCACCAACTCCAGCTGGACAGGGAAAGAACTAGCATAAGACCAAGCTAGACCCTCTGAATGTGAGTGACAGTTGTATGGCTGGGGCAGACTGCAGGGTCACTGGCAGTGGCACCAGGATTTATCCATATTCCTTATACTGGCTTTTTGGAAACCCATTCTCTAGATAGATACGTTGTTCAGCCTAGATATAATAGGGAGGACCTTGGACCTTCCCCAAAGCTATGTGCCTTACCCTCTCTGGAGAATGGATGGGGGGGCATGGTGGAGGGAGAAGGGGGAGGGAATGGGAGGGGGGGAGGGAGTGGGAACTAGGATTGATATGTAAAATGAAAAAAAATGTTTTCTTAATAATAAAAAATAAATTATATTGTACATAATTTTAAATGTTTTATTAAAAATAGTACTTGTATGTTAGAAAAGTTTTCTTTTCTTTCATTTTCTCTTTCTTTCCTTTTTGATTTGAGACTCAGCCTCACCTTTTCCTGCTTCCTTTAGTGCTAGGATTGCCGATGTATTCCAACATACTAGCTTGCAACCTTTCTTGATCTTAAATTACAGTAATGATTAGCCAATTAATTTTTGGCTCTCACGAAGAATTCAAAACTGTGAGAACAGAGCTTCATTTTATTTCTTACTGGTTTGCTATGTCTTTTTGTGTTGTATGCATTAAAAATACTTTCTATATGTATATATGTATAAATATGTAAGTATATGTAGCATGGACATATATAAATATACACACATATGTCTTTACAAACTGATTTATGATTGCATGACCCCTAGTAGTCATTTTTTATTGGTTGGAAATCTGACTGTAGCTTGTATTACTGAACACAGCCCTTCCTTAAACTTTTTGATGGTATTATTGGAAGGCCAGAGGTTCATTTGATGGTATTTACAAATATGTTTTAATATAGTGTACTGACTGAAAAATACAGAGACTAATACTTCCTTTCTTAACTGGTAAACTGAGTAACAGAGTACCTATGAATGGCAATTCTCTGATGATCAATAGAAGGTCTGTTCATATGGTCCATTGAGTTTAAGGGATATAGTCTTTGAGGTAGGAGGAAGTTCTAACCCTGAGTCTATTGATGAGTGTTGCAAGTCATGTGACAAATGCTGACTTATGGAGAATTGCAGCACGGTGAGAGGAGGACTGATTGGTGTTTAGATGATAAATTGTTAAGTGGGAAGCTAGCTACAACTGAAGTGAGCAGGCTCTTAGGGTAGAGCTGGCAGGAAAAGAAAGTGGGGAAGAGCATCATTCCATGTCCACAATCATGACTCCTCTGGCTATACTTAACAGGGTATGATGAAAGTGGGCAGGGGATGGCTTTAAGTTGTGACCAAAAAAAATATTTAACTGCACTGCTTTTGAAGCTCAAGATGAGGAAGTTAAACTATTTGATAAACATGTAGGCATTCAAAGTCTTCAGTGAGGTGAATTGAAAAGGAAGTTCCTGTTTTGCAGAATATTATTCTGTTAGCTAAATTTAGTAGTTGGGAGGCCAGACAAGAGAGACCTTGGGAGAAACAGGTAAGGTTGATCACACATCAAATGGCAAGTATATTCAGAAGTTAGGCCCTACAGAAGTGTTAATTTGGCATTCACTCTGAAATTCCAGAAGTCAGAGTACATCTATACTGCACAAGTTCTCATGTTAGCAAACAGAAGGTGCTCAATATTTGCCTTTTGATCTCTCTGTTGCCTCTAGTAATTGATTGGTTTAGAAGGAAAAGGTAGAGTGGGAGAGAACCTCACAATAAATTCTACGGATCCAGTATGAACACCTGTTTTAATGTTCTGCCTGCCACTAACTATCCCATTCCTGATCAGACTTTTTTAATATGATAATATATGATTTTTTAATTAATTATTTATTTTTAAAAACAACCTTTTCTCATTTTACATACTGATC